GCAAAAAAGATCACTTTTGACAATCTTAAGGACCAAAATTGCTCTTATCATACATAAGGGAGTCTATTGAAACTACTAAAAAGATAAGGGACCCTTTTTGTCATTTCTCTATAATTTCCTTTGGATTTTCTTCATACATGCTAAACAAAATTACACAATGTTTAATTATATATACACTATTTAAAGGACCAAAAGTAATTAATTTTAAAAAGTTTTAAGGACCAAAATCACTTAGCAAAATACACAAGAGACTATTTTGAACTTACTATCAAAGATAAGAGACCATTTTTATCATTTCCTCTACCAATAATTTCCTTTGAATTTTCTTCACACATACTTAGCAAAATTCCACAATTTTTACTTATAAATACACTACTTATCTCACGTTTATAATCACAATAACTTAGATTTATTTTCTCTCCACTAAACCTAAAGAAAAATGGGGTTGTTCAACATCTCATTGTTACTCACTTGTCTCATGGTATTAGCCATATTTCACTCTTGTGAGGCCCAAAATTCACCCCAAGACTATCTTGCGGTTCACAACGATGCCCGTGCCCAAGTCGGAGTCGGGCCAATGTCTTGGGATGCCAACTTGGCATCCCGAGCACAAAACTATGCCAACTCAAGAGCGGGTGATTGTAATTTGATTCATTCTGGTGCTGGGGAGAACCTTGCCAAGGGTGGTGGTGACTTCACGGGGAGGGCAGCCGTGCAATTGTGGGTGTCCGAGAGGCCAGACTATAACTACGCTACCAACCAATGTGTTGGTGGAAAAATGTGTGGACATTATACTCAAGTAGTCTGGCGCAACTCAGTCCGACTAGGTTGTGGTCGGGCTCGTTGCAACAATGGGTGGTGGTTCATTTCTTGCAACTACGATCCTGTAGGCAACTGGGTTGGAGAACGTCCTTATTAAAGTATCGTCTATTTCTGACATGTTGCTAGTACTAAATAAAATTTCCATATTACATGTCTAGGAATTAAAATGATAAGTGGATCGGATTGATATCCTATTATTATTGTTGTTGTTGTTGTTTCCCTTTGATGTTGCTAGTATGAATAATTCCACGTACCATATGTTCATGGTATCGTGGCTTAGGTTCTTTACTTTTTCAAAATTATGAAATTTATATATTTAAAAATCAAGTAGTGTTAATAATATATAGGACCTATCCACAAACTATTTACCTGCTTACCTCACTTTCTCCTCTCTTATTTCGCGCATGATATCAGAATAATGTTAACATCACTGCAATGAATTAATTTTTTGTGGTCTATTGATACCCTGTCGGTATCATATAGGATTTAACTCTTTTTTTAAGAAATAACGAAGAGAAAAGTATTAAAGTCACAATCTTATTTATTAAACTCTAAATTAGTAGAAACTATGTTTTTCAAAATTAAAAAATTGAAGAGTTAAAACATATACCTCAATGATATTATGTAGATATACTGTAATTGTATCATACAATATTCTCATCGAAGGATTAAAGCAAACCATAATGAGAACATTGTTAAAGTACTCATTAATACCGTATTCATATACAACTGTATTATACTTAGCCTTCTTTCTCTCTCATAGAATAATTTTCTTCCAGTAATTTCACGTAAGGACGGTTCAATAAAATCGATAATTTAAAATCAATTTTTAATAAAATAGTTTAAAGCTAAATAAAACTTAATAGCTTTTTCTCTTGATCAGAGATCTTGAGTCCTAATCTCAAAATGAAAACAAATATTGCTAGAGCACTTCTTCCTTTAAAGAACCTTTCTCTGACATGAAATTGAATTAATCCTAACTCCAACATAGATTCTAAATTTGTCATCGCGTGAGAAAAATAAAAAAAATTGAACCCTAAAAAAAATTATCCTAAAAAGTCCTTCGTTACTAAGTCTTGTTGAATATTATTTGAATAATAGGGTAGAGTATAACTATTCTTTAAATCATATAGTATTTCTCTAATCACACAACATGCAATGTAATTAACAACCTCCTTTGAATTTTCTTCACATGTGAAATAAAATACCACAAAGATTAAATTTAACAATTTTCACAAATTCGATTAAATTTAACAATCAAAGTTTGATAAATATCTTATCAAAACCAAAAGTGTTGACTTTTGAAAAATTTAAAGGACCAAAAAAGATCTCTTTTGACAATCATAAGGACCAAAATTGCTCTTATCATACATAAGGGACTCTATTGAAACTACTAAAAAGATAAGGGACCATTTTTGTCATTTTTTCTAGAATTTCCTTTGAATATTTTTCACACGTGTTAAACAAAATTATACAATGTTTACTTACATAAACACTATTTATCTGATGATTATTCATTTGTCTCCAATGCATCCGCGAACTTCTTTTTTCTTTGGGTAATGGAGAGAAACTTATTTTCTTGAATTGCTCAGTGAGCTTTTTAAGATAAACATGATATGTCAAAAAAATTTCATATTTGATTTTTCGATGCTCAAAATTTACCCTAAAATAATTTTGCAATTCATATCGATGCTTGTGCCTAAGTTGGGGTGGGGCTAATTGCAACAACGAAAGGTGATTCATTTCTTGCAATTATGATCATGTAGATAACTGGACATGACAACATTTTTTATTAAAACGTATTTACTTCTAATATGTTATTAATATTATATGTTAATGGTATAGTGGGACTTGTTCACATTGAATTATGAATACATAAATTTATTCCTATTTTACCTTTATAAAATTTATCTTTTCTTTATTAAGATTAAAATACGATATTTGTGTTACTTAACTCAAATATGTCTAGTTTTGTAAAAATTTAATAGAAGAATTGTATAAGAAAACCAATTAGTACCTTTGTTCCAATATGTGTCAAGATTTCGAGTATGAATTTTAAAATGCTATTTTTTTTTGTATGAAGTTGGACATAGATTCTTTATTTCTTTAGAATTATAAAATATACGTATTCAAAATTTAAGTGGTCGTAAATTAATACAAAAGTCAAGAGAAAACTCTTCAATTACATAATGGAATATGAATTTCACGCATCAGATCTTTGAACACTTTAATTGAAAAATTATGTACAATATATCCGTTCAAAACTACTTTATGCGCATATATATATTGATTAACCATATCAATTTTTTTATTCTCTACTTATTACTTATCTAAACACCTAACTAATTATTCATAAATTCAACTTCAACTCTTCTTAAACGTTTTAAAAATTAATAATTCCCATTTGAAGCAGCCATGATGTGAGGCAGTTAATTTCTACACAAAGAACCACATATTTAAGTGTCCACCACTTTGTTTATTATGTTTTCATTATATCCAAATTGCTTAATTTCAATGACTAACAAAAGAATAATTTTCTTTTGATACATTCAAGGCGGCTCAATAATATTGATGACCCAAAATCAATTTGTCATAAAATATTTTATAGGTAAAAACTGAATTGCATCCTTTTTCTATTAGAGGTTTTGAATACAAACCCCGAAACATAGATAAATATTATTTAGATTGAATTTTCCTTTAAAAAAGCTTACGTGATGCAAATTAAATTAATTAAGACTCCAAAACACATTTCGAATATCTAAATTAAAGTATGACAATTATTTAAAGTATATAGTAATCCCTAAATCACACGATATGGAAGGTATTGATCACATTTGAAATTTTCTTCACATTATTAAAATTCCACAATGTTTGAATAATACAATCAAAGTTAGATATAAAGAAAAAAAAATATTCATTTTTTGAAAAAACTTAAAAAGGACCAAAAGTAATTAATTCTAAAAAGTTTAAGGACCAAAATTGCTTAGCAAAATTCCACAATTTTTACTTATAAATACACTACTTATCTCACATTTATAATCACAACAACTTAAATTTATTTTCTCTCAAAGCAAAAATGGGGTTGTTTAACATGTCATTGTTACTTATGACTTGTCTCATGGTATTAGCCATATTTCACTCTTGTGATGCTCAAAATTCACCCCAAGACTATCTTGAGGTTCACAACGACGCCCGTGCCCAAGTCGGAGTCGGGCCAATGTCTTGGGATGCCGACTTGGAATCCCGAGCACAAAGCTATGCCAACTCAAGAGCGGGTGATTGTAACTTGATTCATTCTGGTTCAGGGGAGAATCTTGCCAAGGGTGGTGGTGACTTCACGGGGAGGGCCGCTGTGGAATTGTGGGTGTCGGAAAAGCCAAACTACAACTACGATACGAATGAATGTGTTAGCGGAAAAATGTGCGGACATTATACTCAAGTAGTCTGGCGTGACTCAGTTCGACTAGGTTGTGGTCGGGCTCTTTGCAACGACGGGTGGTGGTTTATTTCTTGCAACTATGATCCTGTAGGCAATTGGGTCGGACAACGTCCTTACTAAAATGTTTTTTTTTTTGTATGATGTGTAAGGGATCAAATAATTATTATTATTTCCCTTTGATGTTTGCTAGTATGAATAATTCCACATACCATATGTTCATGGTATAGTGGGCTTAAGTTGATAATAAATAAAGTTTTTCCTATTTTATTAAATAAGATTAAAATACATGGCATAATGGTAAAATAATTATTGTCTTATGCAAATTACGAGAGTTAAATTATTAATTTTTTTAAGTGTAAAGACGATCATAGATTCTTTATATCTTATAAAATGAATTATATATTTAAAAACGGTTTGAAATGATATATAAGTAGAGGCGGATCTAGGATTTGAAGGTAATGGGTGTCATATCGTTAAGTCTCAATCGTTTGTGATTTTTCATCACATATGCAATATTATAATAATGTTTATTAAAGTCAAACGTAGTCCATGACTTAATGGTATTAACATTGTCTTGTCATGTTTGGATTAGCGTTTGAGTCGAAGCGTCAACATTATTATTTTGCAAAAGAAATGGAAAATGCATTAAAAATGAGCAATATGAGAATCGAACAGGCACCATGTGCCTACTTGTGTCCAGGGGTGACAGATTAGTTTTTCATAAGTTTTATATGCATAAATATATACATACACATGTATACATAAAATTTCAACCAAGATCATTGGATGCCGTGACACCCTACCATGATACATATATCCGCCCCTGCACATAATTAAGTTAACATTGTGAGTCCTTGTGTACGAAGTCACATTTGTTCAAAAATTTCTTATCTCTTATATGAGATTTTTCTATGAGGATCTAAATTTAAGCGAATCATTCTTAACTGAATGTCTTATATTCGAATCGTAGATATATATAGAGTTGTAGTCGAGAAAAAACGATTTACCCTCACATACTTTATTATTCCAATGGAGAGAATAATTTTTCAAAATAAACCAAGACCATGAATTAACTAATATATGTCCTATTTAGGGTTGCATGTAATTGTAATATTTCTAGAATAATTTTAGATTAAGTTAATTAATCCCTTTAGTTACCCAATAATACTGCAATTTGAATGACCTAGACTTGAAAGTTGCAAGCTTTTTCCAAAACAATAATTTACTCTAATTTAAATGCAGTCAAATAAATACAATTATATTTTATTAAGAATTCAAGGAGTTAAATTCTACTTCTCTTTGGGTTTTTTCTCCTCTGATTTCTTTAAGTTCTTGTTTGGACGTCAGACACATGACATAGATAAAATTAATAGAAAATATTTAATTGATTAAAATAAAAATTTTAATTTCTAATTTAAATAACTAATATTTCATAAAAATAGTAATGTCGCAATCATAGAAATATATTAGATTTCCATAAATAGTTTTATAATTAAGGAATGAAATCTTATTTAATATAAGAACGTATGCTTAATTAAATTGTAAATATTAATTTTTAACCAATTATTTTGTTTGTGTGTGTTTTGTTTATTAAATGAGATTTAAACATCATATATCAGTATATACGTATAATAACATAATATTATAATAGTCATGAAATTTTCAGACAAACACTCTTACTAGATAGTTGTGATCACAAGGTTGATAAAACGAGGTTTAAGAAAAATATAATATAGGATAGAGAGTTTATTTCTGACATTCAACAGACATAATTAGACAAGCCAATTAACTCCAACAAACATCAAATAAAGTCACTACTATAGAAATTGACATCAAATGCATTTTTTCACCAACACAATGACCAAATTCTAAAAAAGGAAAGGATTTAAAGTTGGATGACATAATATATGAACGTGTTTTTCAACTTGGCCTTAATTAATATTTATATCTTCAAACTTTACATATGCATAAATAAATACTTAAAAACTTATATAAAATTGAATAAGTAAATACACATGTCCTACTGATACATATGTTAATGTCGCCTTATCAATACACCTTCAATTATTTGATGAAAGATTTTTGCTTTAATTTAGAAAACCCATTCTACTCCCCAACAGTGATGGCAAACTGAGTTCATTTCTCATATAGTTACTCAATTAATGGTCATATTAAAAATCAAGCCTTTCGTTTTAAAATAATTAAGACAGTTTATTTTTTAATATCTGGATGACAATTGATGATTGTGTTGGTGATGGTGGCTGACGATAATAATTAAAAGTGGACGTTGTTGATCGTGGTGGTTGGTGATGACAACTAATAATTATAATGGATAATAGTAACAACTAATGGTGATGGTGAATGATGTATAGCGTGGTGGTCGATTGTGTTGATTTTCGTAAGTGACTAATGATTTTAGTGGAGATGATCGTATATGGTGTCTAATAGTTATGACTTGTGACAACTGACTTATATACATGATTGGCGATGGTGATAGTTATGACTAAAGATGATGGTTTATAAGTGGTAATTGATAATGGTGAACGACGATTAACAACAAACCTAGATAGGAGTAATAATGAATTATATATATAGACATCTTATTAATATAACAACTCAGTAATTATATATATATATAATGTTATTAATACATAGAAAGTTGGAATATTTTAGGTGTACCTACAATATGCTACCAATAGAGTAGCAAAATGACAAAAGTTTAAAATTATTAATGTCTTTTATTTCTCTAACGTTTAATTGACTACTGACTCAAAACGTCAAATAAAAGTAGTTAAACCTCATCAAGAAACAGTATTTTCTTTATTATACAACACATGTGTAACGCCATACATTAAATTTTCTGTTTCTCTTTTCTTGTTTTTATATACAAAAACTTAAATCGTACTATCCAAAAAACCTTGTCATATTCGACCGGCCGGCCGGTCAACATAATCAGAGAGACTTTGGTTACTAGCAAACGATATATTCTCCAAAAAGAACTCATAATCAAACAGCTCGTACTATTGAAGTACCATACAAAAATAAATACAGGGCATTTTTTATGGATACTCCGAAATCGAATCATCAAAGAAGAGGGAGTTCTTCTCCTTTCTTGATGTCTCAAACACTATGGTCATCAACAGAAAAAACATGCAGATCAGGATTGATCAGATCAAATGATGAAAAAGGGGTAAATGTGAAAGTTGTATTGCGTTGCAGGTATGAACAAGTTGAAATTTTTTCCATCGCTAATTCTACGCGTTCATACGATAACTATACCTTAATTTCAAGAAAATTGGGAATCCTTACTGTCCTAAGTGTATTGGCAATAAGGTCACATGTTTGGAGCTCTACATGTTCTTAATATTTGCTTTACTTGACTCGAGGTGTCTATCAGAAACAGTTTTTCTACCTTCACAAGGTAGGGGTAAGGTCACCTATACACCACTCAACCCAGACTCCACTTGTGGGATTACGCTAGGTTTATTGTTGTTGTTATGTTCTAATATTAAAGATAATGTAGTATATAACACTACAAGCAAGACGTGTAGGTGGATAGACTCATAAACTTACCATAGAGACTTACTCGTCTTTCAGGCCACCAAATGAGGATGAAATGAAGATGAAAGGCCCTTTGGTGATCTCATGCGACGAGCTGAAACAAGAAGTCACTGCAACATTGAACACAACTACTAAGCAAATAAACAAATCATTTCTATTTGATAAGGTTATATATATATATATATTTCATTATTACGAAAAATTGTGTAGTAACGTTGATAAGGACCCCTTTAATGCCACAATATTTGTTAGGTTTGTGGTCCATCAACTCAGCAAAAGGACTTCTATGATCAGTCTGTGGCTCCTCTTGTTAATGAGGCGCTCGAAGGATATACTTGTACTATTTTTGCTTATGGCCAAACTGGAACAGGAAAAACTTACACAATGGAAGGGGAAGCAATTAAAGAGAAGGTTCTTTCTGATTCTTTCTTCGTCTTCCCCTCCCCCCCCCCCCCCCCCCTCCAAAAGGTAACAGAGGCGGAGAATAGCTCAATTGGTTGGCTACCTGAACTTTCACCTTGTTGATGAGAGTTCGATTCCCCAATGACAGGGGCGGATTCAGGATTTGAAGTTTGTGGGTTTTGAACTTGCCACCGAACTTGTAGCTCAATTGAGTTACTAAGTTCGTTATTAAATATTTATACATATTTAATGAAGCTCCCTAATACAAAAGCTATTTGGTTCGTCAAAACTCTTAACTTATATTGTAGCTCCGCCCCTGATTTTGTTGGCTTTTATCGTTTTTACATCCTATTTTAATGTTGATGGTTGTAGAATGGGGAGTTTCACAAGAATGCTGGAGTAATACCTAGAGCAGTCCAAGAGATTTTTGACATTTTGGAGTCTCAAAAGGCTGAGTACACTATGAAAGTTGCATATATAGAAATTTATAATGAGGAGATAACAGATCTTCTTTCCCTGGACGAGGAATCAAAACCGATAGATGAGAAGCAGAGAAAGCCGTTAGCTCTTATGGAGGATGGAAAAGGCGCAGTTTTCATTAGAGGTTTAGAAGAGGTGACAGTATCAACTGCAGATGAAATATACAAAATTTTGGAGAAAGGGTCTGCTAATAAGCATACAGCTGAAACGCTACTTAATAAACAAAGCAATAGGTCTCATTCGATATTTTCCATCACCTTACATGTTAAGGAATGTACTCAAGAGGGACTAGAGCTGTTAAAGTGTGGAAAACTGAATCTTGTTGACCTAGCTGGATCCGAGAACATTTTACGTTCTGGTGCAAAAGAGGTACACTAAGAGCCTGTTTGGCTCAGCTTAAAAGTTGGTCAAACTGACTTAAAAGCTGGTTTTTTGACTTATTTAACTGTTTGGCAATACTCAAAATAGCTTATTTTAAGTTAAAAAAAACTTATTTTAAGCCAAAAGTTAAAAGCTGGGGTAGGGGTGCTTTTTTTTTTTTAGCTTATAAGCTATTTTAAGTTGACCACATGTTTATGTTTTTTCCCTTAATATTTTTATACAATCTTCAAATTACCCATATAACCCTAGCATCTCTTTCTTCTATTTTTCCTTTTTCACGTTTGGCATAACAACTTCAGCACTTTTATCCAAACGCATAACTGCTTATTTTAAAAATAAGTTTCAGCACTTTCAAAAGTACTTTTTTAAAAGCTGCTTTTATTAAACCTATCCAAACGGGCCCTAATGAAACTTCTCAGAATAAT